ACTCAGCAACAACAACAAAAAAACCCAAACAACCCATCTTAAAAGTGGTCAAAGATCTTGCATAAACATTCTAGTCAAGATGAGGACAATATATTATTGGCCAACAACTACATGAATAGATATTCAATGTTATTGGTCTTTAAGAAAATGAAAATCAAAACTATGAGCTAACACTTTATACTCACTAGTTGGCTTTAAGAAAGAAAGCATAAAATAATAAGTGTTGATGAGTATGTGAAGAAATAGGAACCTTTGTACATTGCAGACAGGAATGTACAATGATGCAGCATTTGTGGAAAACAGTTTGGTTGTTTATCAAAAAGTTAAACATAGAATTACTATATAACCCAATACTTCTAGGTATATACCAAGTTAAATAAAAACATCTATCAACATAGAAATGTGTACATGTATTTTTATAACAAGTCTCATTCATATAGCCAAAAGGCAAAAAACTCTAATGAACATAAGTATGTGAATGGGTAAATATATTGTGCTATGTGCATACAATGTAATATTATTGTGTCATAAAAAGAAACAAAATACTGATCATGCTACAACTAGATGAACCTGGAAAATAGTATGTTAGTAAAAAGCCACCAGAGACATGAGGTCATATACAGTATGTTTCATTTTATATGATGTATTCTGAATAGGCAAATCCATAGCGACAGAAGCAAGTTAGAAGCTACCAGGGAATGGGAAAAGGATTGAGTGGGAATTGATTGCATAATGTGCTCTGGGTGTTTTTATGAAGTGATAAAAAGGTTTTAGAACAAGAGAGACCTGGTGGTTGAACAACGTTGTGAATATACTGAATACTTAATTAGACACTAAACATCACTGAATTGTACAGTTTGAAATCATTAACAGCATATTCTGTAAATTTTACCTTCATAAAAAATAAAGCAAAGAGAAAATAAGTGGATGGAATTCCATGACTAACAATGTAGTACAAAAGCAAAGAGGAAGAAGTAGGATTCCAAGGAAAGAGAGAAAAAACATTTAATGGATCCACAGTAGCACCCAGGCAGAAAGAGGTGAATAAGGAAGTCCTCAGAAGAGCAAACCTCCACAAAGCACCTGCTGGAAGCCACCAGAAATGTGGAGAAGATGGTGCTAGTTGAATAAGGTGGGCACACTCTTTCCCATGTCCTATCTATGATGATCACTGCTTTCCATATTTTTCTGACACCTGTGTTTGCAATTATTTCAGGAACTGCGCTCCTTACCTGCCTCTAGGGAAGGAAGAGAGTAAACTTAGGGAAATGAAAATAAGACAAGTGGCCCCATGGAGATCTTTCTGAGTTCAGGACAGCCTGGTTACCACCATCAGAAGAGCCCATCTACAGAGCATCAGAGAAATAAATGTCAGATCACCTGGAGGACACTGGTGAAGTATATATCTGTTTCCTGGTTTTACCTTTACCATTATATGCACAGGTAGAAAGAGGTTATATATCATTACAAAAAGTTTGAGGAAACTTAGAGAGTTTCAATTCTTATTTCACTATGGTAGGGTCCTATCTTTCAGGAAACTGCTTTATACCTTTCGTTCACTTGAAAAGAGTCTGAAGATAAAAATATTTTCCCAAACGACTTTAACAGGCTCTAAAGAGCAAATTCAACTTCAAAAATCAACAAAAGGAGCATAAATATGCACAAAGTTGACTCTGTCATTTCATGACCAAATTATAGAAGGAAACTTATTTTAGTTATGTAATATTTTTCATGCAATAGTAGAAGGTGATAAAATGGATTACCTTTTACCCAGTAAGAGAAATAGAAGCCTAACACCATTTCAGGATTTCCCATGCTTTCTTTTCTCAAATCTCATTCAGAAGAAAAACATTTTGCACACTTGTGGTGAAAGAAAAAAATAAGTGCCATTTCAATCATTTAATATAACTTAATCTTTCCTTTTTTTTTTTTTTTTTTTTTTTTGAGACGGAGTCTTGCTCTGTCGTCAGCCTGGAGTGCAGTGGCACGATCTTGGCTCACTGCAACCTCTGCCTCCTGGGTTCAAGCGATAGTTTTTGTATTTTTAGTAGAGACGGGGTTTCACCATGTTGTCTAGGCTGGTCTCAAACTCCTGACCTCAGAATCTGCCTACCTTTGTGATCCACCTACCTCTGCCTCCCAAAGTGCTGGGATTACAGGCGTGAGGCACCATGCCCAGCCTATTTGTATTAATTTTCTTCCAAATGCCAAAAAACTACAAAGTATTTCACCTCTGATACAGCAAAAGGTCACTTTAACTTAGTTCTTTAGATATTGTCTTAGTACATTTGGGTGATGTTACAAAATTCCTTAAACGGGGTAGCTTATAAACAACAGACATTTATTTTGTTATGGAGACTGGAAAGTCCAAGATGAAGTCAGACTTGGTATGTGGTGAAGGCCAACTTTCTGGCTCATAGATAGCGACTTCTTGCCATGTCTTCACGTGATGGAAGAAACGAAAAAGCTTCCTTGGGCCTCCTTGATGAGGGTACTAATCCCCAAGGATTAGTACATGAAGGAATATGGCAGATATAAGAATTAACCAGTAAACACATGATTTGTATCCAGATGTGAAACTACCTAAATGGAAATTCAAGTATTTTTGTTTGTTTGTTTTGTTTGTTTTTAATCCAAGTTGGGCTTTAAAATGGAAATATATTGTTAAAAAAACTCACAGGTTGAGTGTTTTAAAAGACACCCCACTTCATCAATGACAAAGGAAATGGGCTTAGCATTTTTATTTCTGGGGTGAAAAGAATAATTCCCAGGCTCTCATCTCCAGCTGAAATTTCTAATCAGAAGCCCAGTGGTCAGAATATTTTCTACAAATAGTCATATAACAACTATTTTCACCTTTGCAAGTCATTCAATCTTTGTCACAACTACTCAACTCTGCTATTGTAGTTCCAATCAGTAATATATAACACATGCAGAGATGTTTACTAAAACTTTATTTATGAATGCTAAAATTTAAATTGCGTATAAATTTTTTAATGCTATAAAAATGTTTCCCAATTATTAAAAAACTTTAGATAAACCCTCTTATCTTGTGGGGAATACAAAACCATGTTGTTGGTTGGATTTGACACATGAGCCTGCATTTGAATCCCTGCACCATAAAATGAAATCCATTTGAGATTGAAACACATTTATAACTTAAACAGGCATGAAATGAAAACAAAACAAAACAAACAACAGATAAGCAAACAAAAAACTTATTTTTTTTCACAACTAAATGTTTTCCTAAATCCAAATTGAATTAGAATTATTCCATGATATTAACATCTGTGGCAAGTTTAAAGATATATATTTAATTCCTAGGACAATCTGTACTTACTTGATGTTTAAAATATTTGTGATATCTATTATCTAACATTTGGCCTTTTGATTAAAAATGCATAGTTTTAGACACATGATTTCATTTACAAGATATAAAACATACAGTAAATTTTAATAGTACCAAATATTTGACAGCACTTGATTTTTTACAAACATAACATCAGTATTAATTCACAGGAATAATTAAGTTGCTAGGAAAAATATTTTGATTAGTAATTACCTTGATAGTCCTTAAAAATAATAAAAATTAAATACATTTAATATCCAAATGTATTTAATTCCAAATATCTTTAAGTGTTTAAGGAAATTTAATTAAGTTGTAAAATGAACCAAATATTTTAAAAATTGTAATCACTTCAAACGATTGATCTAGTAGTTTAAGATCTCTACTTTATTTCTTTTAATTTTTTAAATTAAAAAATGTAAATAGGCCAGGAGCAGTAGCTCACTCCTGTAATTCCAGCGCTTTGGGAGGCCAAGGCAGGCAGATTATGAGGTCAGGAGATCAAGACCATCCTGGCCAACACAGTGAAAGCCCGTCTCTACTAAAAATACAAAAATGGTGACGGGCGCCTGTAGTCCCAGCTACTCGAGAGGCTGAGGCAGGAGAATGGCATGAACCCAGGAGGCAGAGCTTGCAGTGAACTGAGATTGCACCACTGCACTCCACTCTGGGCGACAGAGCTGGACTCTGTCTCAAAAAAAAAATAAATAAATAAATAAACATTTAGAACATGAACATAAAACACTTAAGGAAAACTACATTTTGCATTCATGATTTTAATGAATTGAGTAACTTAAAATCTTCATATGAGGAAATAAACACCTATTGTTTTCTCTGTGCTCCAAAAACCACTTTTCATGGAGAAAATAATCCATTTGGCAACCTTAATATGTTTTCCATAAAATCCTGCTAAAAAGCATTATTAATACTTATTAACTTTGAATATGCTGTATTTGCTATTATGGCTATTAACATTAAATCGACTAAATTAGAAATAATTACATATAGGAGAATAAGTAAGTAAAGTCAATAAGATCCATTACAAAGGAAATATTTAAATATTTTCCTAAGTACAGACTGGATACTGTATGTATTTTATGATTATGAGAGAAAGATATATTCATAAATATAGTTTCAAAAATCAATAAAACATTTAAAACATATACATATCACATAAATATAAATAGGCACAGTCACACATACATACTGGAATATGTCTTTCCAAATTTTCTGTACTAATATATTTTGCTTACATAGTTTAGTTCAGATTCTATACACAATTAGGCATCAACATTGTATTTATTTAATATTTTATTAAATTTCATATACATTGAATAAAATTTCAAAATTTAAAAATAAAATGAATATATCCTAAATGAAAATAATAAAATTAAACCACTTTTTAAAAATCTTCATTATTATTGAAATAAAACCAGCAAAATGTTATTTGTTTATATATATATATTCTTTTTCTCCCACTTTATACTTTGGATCTGTAATGATTAAAAACTCAATTTTTCTAACCTTACAAGTCTCTGCTTTATTATATCCACAGTTTTGAGTATGATTAATTGACAGTTCCAAAAAGAGTATCTGTTTTAGGAAGGCTTAATTTTCCTTTTGTCTGTGCTTTTATTTTTTATTTATTTATTTATTTTAGAAACTGATGTTTATTTTCTATCAACTATTTTTCCATGTTGCTTAAGAGCCCGTGTAAGAACAGCTTAAGACCATTCAGTGGTTGCTCCTGGCCATTCAGTGGCCTAAGCAGTGGCAGCTGTAGACCAGTCTTCCGTGGCAGGCTGAGCACTCCAGTCTTCAGTAGGGAACTGCTGAATAGGCACAGAGGACACCTGCACACCTTCAGACCAGTCTGCAACCTCAGGCTGAGTAGCAGTGAACTCAGGAGCTGGAGCAGTCCATTCACCCTGAAATTCCTCCTTGGTCACTGCCTTTTCAGCAGTAGCCTGCTCTTCTTTTTCAATCTCTTCAGGATCTCTGTAGAAGTAGAGATCAGGCATGACCTCCCACGGGCGTTCATGGGAAATGGTGCCACGCATGCGCAGAACTTCCTGAGCCAGCATCCACTACATCAAACCCACTGAGTGAGCTACCTTGTTGTTGCATGGGATGGCAATGTGCTTTTAAACAACCAGTTTGAAAGCAAGTATTGTGTTTACACTGAAGGCTGCAACAAAGTGAACCACTTTAGCATTTCTTTTTTTTTTTTTTTTTTTTTTTTTCCAGCTTGGTCTTCTAATGCTTTAGCCACCCTCGGCATGTGAGATAACCAACTCTTTCTCTATCATTGTACAAGGGGCAACAACTACCGGTTGCAAGCCACCAAAAACATGGTGTGATTAGTGTGCTATCATTAATTTCACGGATTCTCTGACTTGTTCCTCCTTGACATAGGGGCTTTTTATTTCAGGCTGGCTTCTCTTATGCTAGCTTAATGTATGCAGCAATGGCAGTTCTGATTTCTGTTTAACATTCCATCAACAGTAAGAGAAAGAAAGTCCCTGTGAATCCAAATTCCTAGCAAGACTCCTGAAAGTCAGTATCATTGAATCAATCAATATTGGTGCCCCGTAGGATGAAATGATATGTTTTTTGTTTGTTTGTTTGTTTACAAAATATGCTATGAATTTGACTTTACTTGGATCTCCAAAAGATGTTGGAAACTATTGATTGATGTCCTCTATAGCAATTGATTGGTATCCAATATAGTCATCATTTTTTACATGTTACCCGTGAAAACTCCAAAGCTTAGTTACTGCCTCTGTGAGGTTATAAAATGAGTACTGATATTCAAACCAATTAAAGTTAAGATAATTTTAAGAAGCCATTGTTGAAAAAAAAATGTGAACTTGAAGGAAAGTTTTAAAATGCATAAGTTAAATTTCTATTTTAACATTATCAGGAATAGTTTTGCTTTTCTATTAAGCTTTTCCATATTTATCTCATTTTGTCATGCCTATAGTTCAAAAACAATTTCTGTTGACAAGTTTGGGGGAAATTTGGAAGAAAATCCTCTTGTCAGCTAAAACCTAGGACAAGTCTTCTTCCAGATAGAAAGTACTAATAAGTTTTAACCATTTATTTTCCTAAAGCAAGTTACTCAAACCAAATTACTGAACTCTTTCTTTATCTACATACCTACTATAAAGAATAAATAAAGTAAAACCTTGGCTTTAGATCTCTTCAATCATCTCACTCTCCAACTTCTAAAACATATTCAGGGGTTATCAGTAATGTTCTATATCCATTCAAAATGTATGCCTTTGGAAATATCAAAGACATTATCCCCTTCAGTCCTATTTGCTTAAACAGTGCCTCCAGGATGCCTACCAAAGTCTTCCTTTAGACCTGTCAGGCACTTTCTCAAAGTTGATTGCCACCACTTCTACTTCCACATCATAGGATCATGTGGACTGCTCATGTCTCTCACCTTTAAGTAGAGAGCTCAGGTACCGTGGAAAATAATTTGGTTATTGTACCTCAGAGCTGTAATGAAGTGGCTGACTCCACTTTGAGGTGTTTGACTGCTCACAGTTTTCAAGCACATTTCCTCTTCTCCTTGTGCCTTACATCTCGGTAAGCGGATGAGAAAGTCCAGGTTCTCTCTCCTTTTGCACTGGCAAGAAGTTCAAATCATGCAATTTCAGGCCCTTGTAGGAACCCTCATTCCAGCTCTGCCTTTTAAATACATTAAAACTCCAAATCACCTTTTAACTGGATCTCTCAAGTCCTTTTCACACCTCTTTGGGAAGCCAGCTCTGCATCCCATGTAAGTCTCATTATGAGAGCCTTTTATAACCTTTTTGTGCACCTGTAGCATCATCAGTGTCAATATCCAAACAAAATTTTGAAGAAGCAGTCATGTAAAGAGTTGGTGACCAGATGCTATGGCTCATTCCTGCAATCCTAGCTAACTAGGAAAATGAGGTGGGATGATTACTTGAGTTTAGGAGTTAGAAGCTGCAGTAAAATATGATTGCACCACCGCACTCAAGCCTGGGCAACAGAGTGAGATCTTGTCTCAAAAATTGAAAAATAAAAAGCTAGGCTGTGTGAAACTGTTTGACTATCTCTGATTTTTTTTTTTTTTTTCTTGCAGGGGATAGGGAAGCACACTGAGTTTTGAATACCTTCCAATGGAGCACCATAAAACTCACAATATTTTTGGAGCTCTATAGCATGTTCTCTCTGAACCAAATATTAAATGCTACATTATGTTAAAAGAAAAAAACTTTAGACAAATTAAATTTAAAATAATTTAGCAAATGTAAAATTCTCCCCAGGACCTGAAAGCTTACGGAGATGAATAACTCCTCCCTTCTCAGGCCCAGTTCCAAGGAGCAAGGGCACTTGCATCAGCAGCGTGCGTCAGCAAGATAGAAGCAGGAAGAGAGGCAGCCCAAGACACCTACCCTGGCCAGAAGACAGGTACCCCTGAAGATCGAGAAAGAGGCCATCTATGTACAATGTAGCAGTTATGTCAGACCAGGACACTTCCTGTTTACAGGAGACTATAAAACCTTTGCCCGGTCCTCACTTGGGGCTGACTCCATTTTAGGCCTCAGCCTGCCTGCACCCAGGCGAAACAGCATGTTGCTTCACACTACCTTGTGTTGCCTGTTGGCGCATCCTTGGGGTTCAAACTAATACAAGAGCCTTACATCTGGCGCCAAAACCTGGGAGAGACTCAGGTTTGTGCCCCTCATGGACCCACCCCTCCACCCCAGAGAGCAGGCCACAGCAGCTAGATAAAGTAAGCTCCTCAGCCTGCAGTCGCCATTCCGTGCATGCATGTTGGTCACTGACCTTGCCTACTGGTAAGTTTCCCCAGGAGCCTGGTTAACAGGGAAAATTCGGCATGGCCTCTCTTGGTTTCTCCAGTCTGAAAACCTAACGTTGGTCCAAGAGGGCTCCGGCGTGTGCCAGGCACTCGCTGATCCATTTGTTCTTATTCTCTAAGCCATTTGATCCTGTTCCGGGAACAAAAAAGGCAGCGGTGATGATTGCACCTTTTATCATCTCCCTCCGGCAATCCACCAGGGTCTCCTTTTCCCTATTATTCCAAGCCTACCCTTTGTTACGGGAAACTCCTAATCCTTCATTCCAAAAACCAGGCCTCTAGACTGCCTCATAAAAAACCTGCAAACCTTAGGCTTCAGGCAAATTATCCACCCTAAGCTCCTTGTCTTTTTTTTTTTTGCAATTCAGTCTGGACACAATACAAATTGGATAATGGGTCCAAATGGCCTGCAAATGGAAGAACATTCGACTTTACAATTTTAACTCATTTAACATATTATTGCCCAAGACTGGAGAAATGGAGATAAATTCCTTCTGTCCATGCCTTTTCGCACTCAGATCACAACCCGACCTCTGCAGTTCTCACCTGTTCAAATTCTTCTCATCCATTCTCGCTGCCCTGATCGACTTTCTCCTCCAGACCCTCCCTCCTTTTCCTTGTTAGATCCAGCAGACTGCTGTCCACCCCTCCCAGCACCTACCTCTCCCTCTCAACCACCTTCTTTAACCCCCTAAGCCTCCCCTTTATCTTATCAGCCACCATCTTCCCAGACGCCATCTTCTCAGCCGCCACCTTCCCAGCCACCAGTTTCCCACCTACCATCTTCTCAGCTGCCATCTTCTCAGTCAGCTGTATACACTTCTTTTCCTACACTTTCCCCTCCTCAGGACAATTCTAGTATTCCCAGTACCTATTCTCCTCCCTCACCACCCTCTCCTGAGGCTTGTAAACCCATCCTGCCACCTTATGCCCCTATCTATCCTCCATTGCCTGTTAACCCCACTTCCCCATTCAAACCCACAGCAGGAACCACTTCCACGTTTTTCCTTCTCTCCTACCCATACTCACTCAGGAGCCATCTTTGGCCCATGCCCCACCCTTACTTCAGCACCAGTGCTAGAATGCCTCCTTTGGGAAGTGGCAGGAGCTGAAGGTATTGTTAGCGTTCATGTTCCCTTGTCCCTCACTGATCTCCCTCAAATTAGCAAAAGACTCTGTTCATTTCCAGAAGACCCTACCTCTTAAATTAGGGAGTTTCAATACCTTACCAAGCTGTATGAACTACCCTGACATGACTTCTACATAATGCTCTCTTCTACCCTCACCACAGAAGACTGAGACCATATCTGAACCCTAGCTCAGGCACATGCTGATACCATTCATCACCAGGCTCCTGCCCAGCTTACTGACACAGAGGCAGTCCCCAAATAGGACCCCCATTGGGATTATCAAGATGGGGCCTCTGGAGGCCACCATCGAGACCACATGATTGTGTGTCTCCTTGCAGGACTCAAAAAGGGTACCCATAAATTGGTAAACTATGAAAAACTTTCAGAAATCACCCAAGGTCCTGTTGAAAACCCAGCCCTTTTCCTCTCTCATTTAACTGAAGCCATGAGAAAGTATACCAACCTAGACCCAGCCAGCCTAGAAGGAACCACCACCTTAAACCTTTGGTTCATCTCCCAATCCACCCCCGATATTCGGCACAAGTTTCAGAAGCTTGACAATGGTCCTCAAACCCCACAATGAGACCTTCTTAATTTAGCCTTCAAAATCTTTAACAATCTTAATGAGGAAAGTAAAAGGCAAAAAGAGGCAGAGTTTCAAATACTTGCCTCCACCATCAGGGGCCCTGCAGGCCCACAGGGCCACAGCTCCACATGGAAGCCTCCTAACAATCCATCTCCACCTGGCACCTACTTCAAGTGCGGCAGTGAAGGCCCCTGGTCCAGACAATGCTCAAACCCAAGTAAGCCCACCAGGCTGTGCCCCTTCTGTGGAAGACCCCAGTGGAAGTGGGACTGTGAGCAGCCCCCACAAGGACCGCCCCCATCCCTTCCCAAGTCAGCCAAAACCTGCCACTCGGATCTCATTGGCCTTGCTGCTGAAGGATGGAAGCGCCGGCAACTATCATCACTTCATCCAAGCCAAGGGTAACCCTGATGGTGGGAGATAGGCCAGTATGTTTTTTCATTAATACCAGGCCAACCTACTCTGCTTTACCTAATTTTTCAGGACCCACCCAGCCCTCCCAAGTCTCTGTTGTGGGAATTGATGGACAAGTCTCCAAGCCCCAAGTCCCCCTCTACTT